AAAAAAAACATAAGAAAGGAGATATTTGTTTAAATTTTATTTTGTGTTTGACTGTTAAAAAAGAATATATATGCCTATATATATTTGTTGTTTGTCTTAATAAAGTGGGCAAATTAAAAATACAGTGGTTAAATTTTTTTATTATTATTATATTGCTCTGTTTTAAAAAAGGTTATAAAAATGTCAATAATTATCGATACCCAACGATATGAAACATATATCGTTAATATATGTTTTAGCTATATCGCCCAGCCCTACCACAACACCAACAATTTCATTTAGAAACATCAAGTGAAAGACATCTTTGCTTTTCTATTGTAGTTAAAAATACACCAACATGACAATTACACACTGGGGTATCAAGCTGCTCTTCACATACACAGAAAAGTTATATACTGTATTGTTCAAATTTTGGGATCAGTAATTTATTTATTTTTTTAAAGAAATTAGTAAGAATTAAACTGATCAAAAGCAACAGACTTTTATAATGTTACAAAAGATTTCTATTTTGAATAAATGCTGATCTTTCAGACTTTCTATTCATCAAAGAATCCTGAAAAAAAATTATCAGCTGTTCTGCTTAATATTTTTTTGGACACTGTGTTTTCAATATTGATAATAATAAGAAATGTTCCTTGAGCACCAAATCAACATATTAGAATGATTTCTGAAGGATTGTGTGACTCTGAAGACTGGAGTAATGATGCTGAAAATTCAGCTTTGCATTAGAGGAATAAATAAACATATTCCGATAGAAAATGTTATTTGAACTTGTAATAATATTGTACAATATTACTACTTTTCATGTAGCCTTTTTTTAAGCAAATAAATGCAGCCCTGGTGAGTATAAGAGACTTTTTAAAAATCTTATTGACCCCTAACTTTGGTAATGTAGATGTAACGCACATGTAAATGAATATTTTGATTGAGGTTACTCACAAGGCTGCGGAACTGGTTATGGAGCAACTTAGAAGATCGGCCCAGTGAGGACTGGGAGGCCAGTGATTCGAAGGATTTGATCCGGTGGGCAGAAGAGTGACGGGTACATACAGAGTCGCTGCCTATGCCAATATCTACACCAACAGAGAGAAGACAGAGGAGAATAATAACTAATGGGAACATCTGTAACACTGTCAAACACTATAAGAAGAGCACATTAGCAACTTTGAACACATTTGAAACTGTTGATAACACTGTGATTTTAGGCTTTAAAGTTTCAGTTTATTGTTTCTTTGTTTGTTTGTTTTTTGTGTTTTTTTAATATCATGTTTTTTAAAATGACTCAATTTATATTATGAAAATCTAAATGTGTACTAGAAAGATTTCTGAAGGATCGTGTGACACTGAAGACTGGAGTAATGGTTGCTGAAAATTCACCTTTGCCATCACGTGAAAAAAAATATGTTTTTATATATTAAAATAGAAAGCATTTATTTTGAATAGTAATAATATTTCACAATATTCCTGTTTGTACTGTATTTTTGATTTTTTTTTTTAAAAAGCAGTCTCAGGGAGCAAGAGAGACTTCAAAAACTTTGTTTTTTTTTTAAATGTTACCAAACCCAAATCTTTGAACAGTAGTGTGTATGACACAATAAGAGCCTTTTATCATATTTATAATACATTACAGTTTCAAGTGTGTCATAATGTGAAGGCGGACTTATTCATTTCACATCACACATTATCTTTAGCTTGTCTCCACTAAATTCCAAGACAAACAAACACAAACATAAAGAATGAATTAAAATATCTCTTATTTATTGCATATAACTCACTAGATTAAAGAATTATATATTTGGATATCGTTGTGCATTATTTAATTCCAGCAAAAACAATGCGAATTTAGCCCTACTGTGGCGTGATCCCATTTAGAGTGAAATCAAACATTAACAACAGCGGGAGTTGCGTGATTTTTGCAAAATTTATAGCCAGACTGGAGATCTGAAAATGTCATCATGTAGTTAAGCTTGAGATCACATCATCACAGCTGAATGAGCTCAGTGCTTCATGGTGAAGGAGCTTCAGAAGAGGCTGCTCATAAGGCAGAGCGAACTGGACACAGATTAGCGAAAATCCTGTAAACCACAAATTTGGAGCAAAGGGATAAGCTTTCATCCCCAGAGGTCAAAGAGTCTTACTTTAATACAAAAAAAGTACAAAACAAACTCTCAGACAATTAAAAAAGCCTTTCAATCATCACATAACCTATATGCGAGGTTTGTCATCTGGGAATGTGCATACAAATCATGGGCCGGAGACATGACAACAACACGTCCTTGCAATGTCTGTGACAAGTGCTCACAGCTGTAATCTTTCACACATAAGACTAAAAATAAGTGTTTACTAACAGCTCATTTCTATTCCAAAATGTAGCACACTGTGATGGTGCTGGTGATGACAGAGTTGAACCCCAATGGAGCCTTGGGCACTGCCAGGTCAAACGAATACCTTTTAACAGGTCAGAGAGGAGCAAATTACTGTGACAGAGGTGCAACAGCAAACGCGAAAGCAAGAACGCTCCATATGAGAAAACTCAAACCTAAACCCACACAATGTAGAGGAGGTAAAAAGCAAAGCGAACTGTGGGGAAGTATACGAATGCAAACAAACCCTGAGATGAATTCATTAACACAATCTCCAGCAGAACAAACACCCCTAGAGATCACAGCGTAGAAAGCAGACTTAGATGCACACCAGGCACAGCATTAATCTCAAAGATGGAGTAGTGATACCCACTGAACTTGAGAAAAGGGTATCTTTTCCTAAGATATTGTCAGTACTAGTTTAGATAACGCATCACACATTATGCGGCTACCAGGAGCTCCATATGTGACATGGGCCTCAACCTCACCACATCTAGATACACTTGACAATGCATTAGCATTACCCTGAACCATCTGTTCCTTAATAAATGCGCATAGATCAAAATCCCACTAGCCCTTTGTCTTTCTGTCCACATTTGTGAAATTTTAAATGATTAGGCCATTAAGTCTCTAACAGTGGACAGAAAAAAACTGTAAAAAATGGAGTTAACATAATTTACATTATAATACAATCAATATTAAAGTATAACTTAATATTATAATTAGTTTTATCCTACAATAGCACTGACAAATAAAACCCAATCATTTAATTTTGCAAACAACATGTCTATAACATCACACTTAATATTTTTCCCATACTGTATAGACCTAAAAATGTCTGTATGCATTAAAATATATATTTGCCTTTATATTTTTGGAAGGACATGCCTCACAAAATGATCATAATATTGGGGGTACTTGGAGTTAAAAAAAAAAGTTGAAACACATTATGAAAATCACTTTTGTTGAACTGAACCAAGCAGAAAACAAAGCTTGAATCTATACCAGAGGTCCAGAGCTTCAAATTCATGCAGACTCAAATGAAACAGACAAACTGTACATGAATGGACAAAGCAACGCCATTCATAGATGACACAGCCCTGTATGCTGTAGCGCACAAACTCGGCAGCAAAATCCCGATATTTTATTGATAAACATTACAACAACCACAACCAAATAAACCCTAGCGACATTTTCATAACATTACCCAGCTTTTGTCCCATCAGACTGTGACAATGAACCGATGTGCAGGGCATGGTCTCACTCACGTCTCTTTTGTTGATTGTTTTCATTGTGGCGCCAATGCAGCAACATACAGTAGAGTCAAAGGACCATAAACACACCAACTTACCTCGACGCGAAACACCGCGCAGCCCTTGAGAAACTCCGTGATGTTGCTCAAGCACTCGCTGTCGTTCTTGGGATCTTGATAGATCTGAGGGAAACGGGAAGAGCAGTTGAAAAGTGTGAAAGCTTTGGGAGTGAAGGACTGGCTCGAGTATCCTGTATGAGAGTCCACGGGCTGACTGACTGCCTGCCTGACTATAACCACATCCACACACACATCGCGAAACAGATCTGCAGCACCGTGGAGATGGACAGCAGGAAGCGGGAGGAAGTGACGTTTCCAGATGGACGCCGAGCACAATGGGACGTGAACACACCCCTGCTCTGGCGGGGGAAATTAAAACGGGTCCGTCAGTCAGAGCAGGTATTTTGAGATGGTCCTCACTGCAGAACACAAGATTCAGGGGGCGTGGTTGGATCCAGATCCAACTCCTTCCACCTTACATATCCCTAACCCTCCCCGTCCCCCCCCCCTGATCCCTAACCCCACCCATCTCCACCCCTAAACCTACCCATCTCCACCCCTTAACTTACCAATCTCCACCCCCTAGATGTGGATCCAACCACGCCCCCTGGATATTGTTTCTGCAGTGAGGGGCTACTGGAGGTATTTTGAGAGGTTAATGAGGGGGATGCAAATCAAAACATTCTTACAGCAGTTAAAACATTCTGATAAATACAACAAGCATTTGTATATGTGACCCTGGACCACAAAACCAGTCATAAAGGTCGATTTTGAAATTGAGATTTATACATCATCTGAAAGCTGAATAAAGCTTTCCATTGATGTATGGTTTGTTAGGATAGGACAATATTTGGCTGAGGTACAACTATTTGAAAATCTGGAATCTGAGGGTGCAAAAAAATCTAAATATTGAGAAAATCGCCTTTAAAGTTGTCCAAATGAAGTTCTTAGCAATGCATATTACTAATCTAAAATTAAGTTTTTATATATTTACGGAAGGAAATTTACAAAATATCTTTATGGAACATGATCTTTACTTAATATCCTAATGATTTTTGGCATAAAAGAAAAATCAATCATTTTGACACATATGTTTGGCTATTGCTACAAATATACCCGAGCGACTTATGACTGGTTTTGTGGTCCAGGGTCACATATATCACATTTTGGGTTCTGGCAGTGTATTCACCACTCTGTGAAGCATTTTTTAAAGGAAACTGTCTGGTCGTCAAATTCAAAATAGACAAAACTAAAAGCGTAAATGTCAGTGACTGAATTTGTTGCATACTGCAGCATGAAGGCATATGGCATATGTTGACAATGTGTTGTGAGCTGACCAACATACACTACAGAAAGGAAAACACGTGGTGGATTGGCACTGAAATGTGTTTGGGGTGGAATCAGAAGGGATTAAGTCAATATATAATTTTATCTCTGTAAAAAAAAAAATACTTGAGTCACTGTTTGTGTTGTCAGATTGAAACATTCTTGAGAATCACTATAGGCGGCACTTTTTTAAACTAGCTTGGATATCTTAATGTGTACTTACTAATGAACTTCAAAGATATATTTCAAGTGCCTCAAATTCTTTCCCCTTTAATGGGGTTACTGGGGGTTACAGTTTTTTAAGTTCTTTCAGGAACTGCAGTGTGCTCCATTTTGTAAGTTCCCCAGAGACGTGTGCCTAGAGGTTCTCCAGAGGGTTCTGCCAGTGTGGCAGTCTGTTTCTCATTTGTACACTACAAAATTATCAGATTGGGATAAAATTAATCCTTGTAAATTTTTTAATGGAAGGTGCCTGCCTGCCAACTCACTCATCCTTATCTGAAATAATAATAACAATATCTACAACATTTTTTTGAACTGAATTGAATGGAATGCAAATAACAAATGTATTTACATATAACAAATGTATTTTGTAGATTTTAACATTTAAATGTACAGTTAAACACATTTCATCATATGATTTAAGAAGGTGTTCACCAAAAATGAAAATTCTGTCATCCCTTACTCATCCTCATGTTGTTCCAACCCATACGTCTGTCGTTCATCTTTGAATCCCAAATTAAGATATTTGTATGAAACCTGAGAGGTATCTGTCCTACTATTGAAAGTCCATTCAACCTAAAATTTTGATGGTTTAAAAATGTCATACAGTCATTATAAAAGAGATGCATATGAATCAAGTGATTTAATCTAAGTCTACTGAAAGTCCCAGGTTTCATTAAAAATATCTTCATCTGCATTCTGAAAATGAACAAATGTTTTATGGGTTTTGGCAGGGTGAGTTATTGATGACAACATTTTCATTTTGGGTGAACATCTCTTTAACATAAAATACATAACCTAAAACTGCAAAATGTAATTCTGCATTTAGGCCAAACCTCAAATGCTTCCACTAAGTTGGACGGCATGAAGCAAAAGTATGGTTTTAAGTTATTGTTATGGCAAAGATACATTACGAGCTGATTTGCTGAGAGAGGTTCAAGAATGAAAGTATCAGCAAATCAAATCGCAATGTCAATAAAGCTTTCCTTCTTTGCAGTGTCATCCTATAAGGAGCTGCAAATGATACCTAAGACTGTTCGGTAGCTAGGAAACGGATGCTTCATTGTAAGTCAGTGGGCCTTACAGCTGAAGCTAGCATATATGTAAATACATGTTGTAGTGAATTGTCAGGATCCTTACGTCTGAACACCCTCATATTTTCTTTAAAATATTTTCTATTCTTTTATAGATACAAAATGGAGTAGCGCATCTAGTAATGGCAGTAACTACCCATTGCAGGAGACAAATCTGCCTTATACATGAAAACAAAACAGACTTGTTCTCATCATTGCACAGAGCATGTACCAGAAGAATTAAGTGTGTATGATAATTTTGTTCAATTATTGCTTCATTTCAGATTTTGATAGTCAAAAATACTATGACAGATATGTGGGTTATTTATTTATTTGTTTTTATGTTGCAATAAATGACAGTTGCATAACAGGCTAGTTTTGTTGCACTCTGACTGATCATGTGGACAGTCCCAACAGAAACATGATGCTTCTGCCCACACCATCTAAAAAAATGTCAAGTGCACTATTATTTCTTTTCCCACTTTAAATATGCAAACTTTAGATTTTTTTTTTTTTTACTTCCACATAGTTCTCTTCCCAGGATATACACCTGCTGTAAGCATCCTATTGTTATGTTCACAGTGAGAGTGTGAAATTTGATAAGCAAACCAGATGGAGCTTGAAAAGAGGTTATTGCTGTCATAGACTGTTAGTCATTGTCAGAGCTGACCCTGAATATGCCTGATTTCTTAAAACGCACCCCCTCTGTATACACCAAACCAAGAAGGACAGACTCAGATGCATTATTTATGGAAAAGACAAACTGCTTTAGAAAACATGTTGGATAATCTTATACCTGAGTGGTCATGTGCTGCTTTAATTATAGAAAAAATGCATTTCTTATTTGAATTAATTATGTTCCCTCTGAGAGGCATATTAAAATCTTTATGCCTTTCATAAATTTGCATTTACCCTCAGGTATCTTGTTCAGTGGAATATATTGTTTTCGCTCTGATACTATGAATTGCGTTATCATGTGGTTTAATGTTACTGCATTCTGATCATTCTGTGCAATTTAATTGAGATAAGAAAATAGCGTGTGTTGAACTGCAGTTGAATGCCATTTGTTATGCCTTTCCAGTTTGCATTGCATTACATTGGATAGAAGCAGGGGCTTATGGGAATAAAAAAACACTGTTTCTTTAAACGAGAGCGCATCTGCTTTTTTGTCTATTTACTGTCTATGGCGGCCCATTTCCAGTGTAGGCAATATAAGCAAGGGTGCATAGCTAACCTTGATAATACCTAACAGATTAATGCTATTCATACACAGCCATGTAATGCGATTTGCACGCGCTTATCCTCAGGTTTCCATAAGTAGGTTATCATTTACATCTCACATACAGTCGGTTAATATATATGTTTTACTGGTTTTCTATTAAATATGACAGTCAAATGCGTTCAACATTCAGCTTGGTACGGATCTCACAATAAAATCGACGACTGCCAGTGTTGTTGCCTAGAGCAACAGCAGCACTAGCGCGCGCTGATCGCCTCTACCGACCTGCTGCTGCTGCAAGGGCTGCGTTTACATTCTAACAGAGGATTAAACATCTGTTGTGACCTATATATAAACTATATATGCCACTTGTGTTATAATAAACATTAAAGCGCGTGTAGTCTTAAGATTACAGGAAAATGAACAGTGAACACGGTGCGCCAAAGGGAGGATGCGCGCTTACTTTATCAGTAGTGCCTGGACGTAGCCGCTCCAGCAACCTGCACAGGACGAACCCATCCTTTAGCGAAGACTGCAGAAATCCATCGGGGTCCGAAATGGTCTTTTTTGGTGATTCCAAAACCCCGAGCGTAATGAGCCAAGTAACCGTTTGTTCCGCCGGATTCATGGCCACACCAGCAAGGTCGATGCTCTCAGTATGACGATTGTAATGGGGAAAGAATTAGGCTGTCTGTTATTAACCAGTCGTTGAACTGGGCACCATTTTCCTTTAAAACGTGTTGTTTGAGGGATGGCGCATTATATGGCGCTCCATGGAGATGAGTAATGCTATCGCTTCGCTCCCATTTCCTTTATTACGACAAGCTGTCAAACGCCTTTCACTGGAATACAGTCAGCGCACTAAACCTGCATCTTCCGGCAGATGACATCACAGCATAGACACAGCATATGTGACCAGTCGGCTTCGCATCCTGCTTTGCATGTGGACTGCATGGGTTCACCTGCTCTTTGCATGACTAATGTGTCGTAACAGAAAGATCTGGTGTACATTTATTATCTATTTTTAGAGATTAGTGAGAAGGAGCATTTGGTTAACGACCTTAATAAAAGGACATTGTGAAGTATTTCTGTACATTGTGAGAGTGTGAATGCATGGATGCAGTATAGGGGATTTTAAAATATGCAGTCTTCAACCCTCCCGTTATTGGGCAGGTTATACGATACTGTTGTTTTTATCAGAATAGTGTAGTTCATATGCGGTCCGCAGGGTGGCGTCCTTTGACATAGCATTTATCCCGCTGAACCAGCTGGTTTAGATTGGCCTTGTAGTTCTCTCAGTCTCACCAGTCCTCAAACCAGATGAGAGTGGGAAACCAGTCTTTTTTAAAAGCAAGGTAGTCATAGGAATGTGTAAGAAGTTTGTGTAATTTGTTGTTCTTCATTAGTCTGTTTTCTTTTATCCATTTCTGAATATTGTACACTAAGTAGTATGTAAGTAGGAGTAAGATTTTTTTCCCCCAGCAGCCAGTAGTCTTCAGTATCACTTGATCCTTCAGAAATCATTCTAATATGCTGTATTGGTGCTCAAGAAACATTTCTTATTATTATCAATATTGAAATTCAATATTGATTTTTTTGGGGCTACATTTTTTGGGGTTATATATATATATATAAAAGACAGAGAAGGCTGAGCATGTTTATTGCTATACATTGCTGTGTGTGTGTGTGTGTGTGTGTGTGTGTGTGTGTGTGCGTGCGTGCGTGTGTGTGTGTGTGATTTTTTATTTATTTAGATTAATAGGAAATTCAAAAGAACAGATTTTTTTTTTATGGAAATCTTTATAAATGCTTTTACTGTCACTTAACTCATTAAAAAAATTCTGACTCCATACATTTCAACAGTAGTGTAGCTTATATACTGTATTTCCATGTGTGACTGCAGTAACTAAGATGAGGATTTCCCATAAGCCACCAAGCCTTATAAATGACACTCACCCATCACCTCTCCCCCACTAATCCCACCAACCACTAAACACTGTGATAACTTTCCAACCAAACATCCGCCTGTTGCACAACATAGACTTTGAACATACATGTTATACAACTTGCATTGCAAGTACTGATAATATATTGCACATACATCACATGATATTGCCATTTGCACTACACACTTCCATATGTCTTTTATATAAAACCACAAATAGAGTACGTTAGTAATGTGTTATAGTTAAGTTCCTGTTATAATTTCCCACAATTTAATTATCAGTATGCTATTTATTTCTCCATGCAATTCTTGCTAAGCATCAAGGGAGTTTACTTGTACAGTGTACAACTAAACTGTTACCCTGCACAAATGACAATAAAGAGCCATTACACCGTTAGCGCCACATTTTTAATGAACAAGCTCTGAGTCATGCATAACAGTAAACTGGCACAGTCAGAGTAACCAAGTATAATCTAGATCAGCATGAGCGTGAATGGTGGAACTGAAACATTTATCAAAACTGTTCACTAGTTAAATTGGATAGACAACATAAACCACCAGTTTACCACTCACTCCTGCTCCCTCCTGAATCATCTGGCTAGCTACCTAGAGGAATCTGAGTTCCCAGTGGGTCACCATGGATACCGGTGGAGGTTCAGTGCTCGTCTCAAGAGTCAGCTGAAGGAGAGAAGCAACCCCTCTGTGGCTGGGAGGGCAGAACGTCATGTCTTAACAGGCCTGCCATGGGACTACTCACAATCCCCCAGACCCACCATCTCTAGGAGCTGTAACCAAGGATGCCCTTGCGATATTTCCTCCAAGAGAACTCTCTAGGTGGACCCTCACCCCTTTTTAATTTCTTTAAACATTTTGATTCAATTTTACATTGAAGTATACTGTCTTAATCACTCTAGTTTTCTAAGTGTCCTTTTATTTGTCTTTGCTTATTTAAAAAACAAATATGATCAGCGTGTCTGCGTGTAAAATACATTAATGTCACCATCTTACACCATCTGAGCAGAGTGTCTATATTTTATTGCCCATCTCAATAGTTATGCATTATATGTAAATGCAATAATATATGTATAAAAGACACAAAAATAAGGCTGTGCCCGTTTATTGTTATACATTAGTTTTATGATTACAATTTAAATTATGACAACAGTGTGTGTTGTGCGTCTGTTCCGTTTTGTGTAGGAGCGACTACTAAAACTCAAGAAAATATTCTGCCTGTACAAAAACACCTCAGATGCACATTCATTATTCATGTAACTCTCAAACACAAGCATATCCTTTTGTCAAATGCTTGTAAATGCTTTAGATTTAATCAAGCTTCACTGATTTATTTTAGTCCAATTTTTCCACTTCTATGTGATTTTTTGTTTTTTAATACTGCATTTTATAAATCTTCTTTCTTTTTTTATAAAAAATCTTTCTCTCACACTGCCTCTCTCTGACACGGTGCTTGCGCTTTCTCGTTTTCAATCTATTTTTGATTATTTTTGTCCCCCAGGTGTGGCTCTCTCTTTATGAGGGTGAGTAATGACTGAGAGGTTATAAGAAGAGCGCTTTGAGTAATGAAACCACAACTGTGAGAAAGAAGGATCAGCAGCACATCTGGGGTATTCCTGTCACTACCATGCACACAAACACTGTTTGTGCAAGATGAGTTGCAAATCATGCATTAAATCATGCAGACTGATTGGTAAATTATTACTTTTCTTAGTGATCAGACTTATTTTATCTGGTGCACATATAACGGATGAAATTGTCCCTTAGACTTAACAATATAGCAGTAACCTGAGCCAAATCTAGCCACAATATCATAGAGATCAGAGGGTTGACTCTTTTTGGCTTTTCTATTTTTGGCTTTTTGGGCCAGTAAGACAGAAATCTACACCCTAACCCATGCCATCATGCATAAATATATATATATATATTATGTATAATTATATAATATAATTATGGGGGCCGTTTTTTAATGTGTCAAAAACATTGTCAAATTGACCTTAATTCATTCTAGTTGTTTTAGATGTTATGTTTGTGTACATATGTTTTAGAAGAATGTAAATGGCTGTATTTTCTATAAACAGGCCACCAATGTGTCAAGCTGATGTACCTCAAACACATCCAGTGCAAATACATCATTTTTTGGAAAACAACAAATCGAGATGGCTAGAAGGTGTAGGAAATCAGTCATTTTGAGATTCTTAGTCTCCTAATGTTTCTTTAATGGACAAGGTTATCTGTGTCAGATGTCAGGAATAGTATTAGCAAGTCTCACACAGCCACAAACAAATGCCATAATGCACTGATGTTCCTTTTTTGGCGCAATTAAGAGAATGAAAAATCTGTTCACAGACAGAGATAGTGCATGTCTCTAAGCATCACCGTAAATTGTATCATGGCTTTCATGATGCATTTATATCCTTAAAGATGTTAGGCTCTGTTTGCATTCTTTCTTTTCAATGAAATGTATGAAGCAATGCGGGGGGGAGTCTGGGAGATGGACACCAACAGATTTGGGAGTCAACAGTGAATAACACAAGGTTGTCTCTCTACCTCAGCACACATTCAGACACATCTGGAAATTCAGTGGAAATCAGTTCTTGCCTAATCCTTTTCTGTGGGTATGTAACAGGTTGCATTCCATTCTTCCTTCGTCTTCAGAGATATAGGCTAGGAGATATAGGCCTATATCTTGTATATTTTAAAAGATATATGAGTTTGCTTTATTAAAATCATCACTGATGTTAGGTGAGGTCTTCCTTACGATAGATAGATAGATAGATAGATAGATACTTTTTGTTCGCTTTCCCAGAGGAATTCATGCTTCAGTTTCTCGGTGACTCCGTCTCCCTCCTCCCCGCTTGCTTACGCAGGAGTGTATCTACGAGCATCGCCGTTCATCGCCGTCATAGTGCTCTGACGCGATGTTTGGGTGACAACGCCGAGCCTCCGGTACATCAGCCTCCGCCCATCGCGTGCTTCCACAGAAACACCGACCGTGCCTCTGATGCGTGACCCGTTGACGCTAGTTCTCCTGCGGTGCGCGGTGCTGCGCTTCTGTACCTGCCAAAATGGACAACTGAACAATCGACCTCAACATGCCTACCATTTATGGAAGTAAGGGAAAACTTGCAAGTGTTTGTTTCATGCTTCACCACGCATCCCAGGTTAGTGTCATACAAACCTAATGCGTTTAATTCCATTGTTTTTCAGGGAGAGACCAAAACATGATGATAACGACCATTTTTGTTTGGTGTTATCCAATTTACTCTCTATAGCCTATTTGATTTTTTTTTTCTTGTTGGGCTATTAATTATGAATTTCTACCGAACATTTAGGGGTGCAGTCTCGCGCAACCCTTTATTTTTATTTAGTTTTTCCCCAAACTTAGACAAACGTCAACTTCTTTAAACATATTTAAACTTTTTAAACAAAACACAAACATTTTTGTGATATACTTGTGATGTGCAAGTATATAGGCAAGTGGTAAATAATGGCTGTGTTTATGTTTTGTCAATGTTCCGTCCGATGTCGATCCTCAAGAAATGTACACGAGTCGCGTACTGTTGCCATGGTTACCTCCTCAGGCGAACACGATTTCTCATTCGCCAGAGTCTTTTAGGTACAAATAGGCGCCCTAACTTCCATTCTAACTTTTGTCTCCTAAAATGTTTGAAAATGCAGATTATTGCTTTGTATGTGAGTAATAATGGGAAAAAATCTGTAGGCTAGTTAGAAGAATCATGCGTAGTCATATCTCTATAGTCTACAGTACACTGACAGAACTTCTGAGATGTGATGCTTTATGGTTTTGTCAGTTGAACTGTTTTCCGGTGTGAATACCTTTGAGCGCAGCTTGGTGTTTTCGGTTTTGCTGTGTGGCGCGTGCAGCTTTGATTAGGTGGCACGAAACATTCAAATTCAAATTTTTAAAAAGCGACTTCCTCTTCTGTCACTCCGGAGAGCTTCTTCGCTCTATCAAGGCAATCATCACCTGCCTCTCCTGCTGTTACATCATGTTTATCTCTGCGCTTTAGTATCTCGGTTTGAACTTCTCCACAGAGACCCGATGACATCTAGGGGATTTTGCGCGCTGTCTGACTAGGTTCGCTTGTACTAATATTTACTGACGCATATTTGAGTATAATAGTAATAATAATAAAAAAAAATAATCCTGGGAGAAGACGAGTTGAAGATCAGCTGAGGGCGCAAAGAGGACCAGTGCTAAGTGAGTAAGGTTAAATACACCTAGTTTAGCTTCTGAACTTTGGGAATTTCTCACTCTCTCTCACACACACTCGTTCACTGCTGTACTCATGCAAACACACTGGCTTCACAGATGACTCATTCTCAGTCATTCTGAGAGGGTAATAAAACAGGTGCTGTGAAGAAGGCTTATTTAAAAAAGTAAGGGATCATCAAAAAAAAAAACATTTTAATTTCCTCCAGCTGTGTGTGAGTCAGCCCCTACACTGAGATCTTTTGAGGACACTTATGTATATTTCAGTTCAGACAAGTGCATGTGTGCAGACAACCACTATGGCATCCAAATCACCTGCAGATATATGCAGATGTCAGCTGTGCAGCATTATATTAAGCTACAGTGTATTCCTAAGGTTTGATTACAAATATGGAGCTCAGCTTATAATACGTGGTGTTATATTGATTATTACTGATTGGATATATTGATTATACCTGACTGTTCAGATATTTTCCGGGGTTGCACTGCACATTATTTTCGTATATCTGTGACATCTTTCTATAAATATACAGTAAAAAGGCCTTTAATTTAATTATTTAATCCAAACTGTACTGGAATGTCATAAAATGTGCACTACACAAAATAATAATTCATTATTACACATCTTTCTGGAATGCCTGATTGTAACTGGTCTATCTCATAATTTTATATTAAATAATTTTATTATTTATATTAAAGACTTTATTTTACAGTGTCTTTGTTACATGTACACACTCAGAAAGAAAGGTACAAAGGCTGTCACTGGGGCAGTACCTTTTGAAAAAAAGACACCCTAATGTATTTGTACCTAAAGGGTCCATTTTGGTACTTAAATGGTACATATTAATACCTTTTGAAAGGGTACCGTCCCAGTGAGAGCTTTTGTACCTATTTTCCGAGAAAGGTACAACATTGTAATTACAGTATGCATAATTACATGAAACTAACCCTAAATCAAACCTAACCTATCCTAACCCTAACGTATAATTACACTGTAACAAGGACACCTTAAAATAAAGTGTAACCATAATTTTAAACCAGTATTTCATGTAAGTATGATCATGCACAGTCAGCCCGTCATTACTACAAAATAAACCCCTCCATGCTGGGTAAAACCCTTCAGGCACACCAGCTCATTGTACATTATGATGTACTTGTTTCTATTTGATTTGAGCTACAGGTTTTTCCTCCAACACATCAGTTCTACTGCAAATGCCGGTTTGACTCCCATTCAAAATACATCCTTAAATGCTAATGGGTTATTCAAATGAAATAATCCCAGCAGCTCTGATCCAAACTGGGGACAAATTGTCCTTAGAGTCATGCTTTATGCATAACTGCACTTAAGTATTAGTTAAAAGCACCATAGTGTCTCTTCTTTGCAAAAAACTACAAGACACATTCACCCTGACACTGTAAATTAGCATTGGAAGATTGTATGATAATCTCTACAAAAAAGGGTTGGAGGCTCTAAAGCTGAGTTTATTTTAGCTTTTTTTGTGTGTTTACAAAAGGTATTATGCATTTTTGCCCTTCTGGTTGGGATATAAATGAGGCTGCTGTATGATCAATTACTAAATGAAATGGGGGAGGATTATTCTATAGATGAATTACTAACATAGGTACGAGTAATCCAAGTGCTATCTAAATGAACAATAATTCATGTGTGATGTCTGCTGAGAACAGACCCACTTACCCAAAAAGGACAGATATGAAATGCAGCGGTACCGATTTTTGGAGGGAAATACTTATGCAGATTCAAATCTTAGGTTCTAGTCAGTGGTTTCCAGACATCTCATTGAGATGTCAAATGCGTTTCTGTATGTTAAGGTGAAGAAACCAAAGAAATAATTTTTTGTTTAGTAGTTTTCTGTTGAAAGCACTTTAAAATCTAAGGGAAGATTTACTACATGCATCTTTTTTATTAAGGTCTTGTTTCATGATCACTTATTAGATCAAGCAGTTTGTGTGTTCACACACATGACCATTTGCCCCAGTTTTGTATGGGATGAATGTTTTAGTAAATGTAAATGCAGTCTTCGATATCACAGTTTTGATAAGCAGAAGTCGTGTACGTACATTGTTCTGTAGTGTATGTGTGGGATCATTGCAGTACAGTACAATACAGCACTGGGTTTCTCATATTATCATATTATGGTCTGTTACCATCAGTCTGAATTCTGTGTAGGTGAACAAGCACATGCATAGATGTTTAAGTCTTCCCAGGGCTGGTGTTGTGGTCATAGGTATTTTTAGAAAGAGCACAACAAGTGTCTCTACAAGCATTAGTGTGTGAGTCTGTCTGTGCCTTTTCAAAATGGTGTTTTAGTTACTGTTTCAATTGTAGAAATTGTCGAGAATCAACAGTCTGCTATGATTAAATATTCCTCAACAGGAAATTGCCAATAACATAGGAGTTCTTGAAATAAAGTGAATAATACTTGGGTGGTTAAATGGTCTTAATGTGGTAGCACACGAGTCATCTCAGCTCCACGTGAAATATAACAACTTTTATTAAATTTATGTGGCTTACATTAGGCTTATTAGCTCATGTGACTGTGCGTGATTTTAATCTTTTAATCAAATTAAGTTTAATCTTTGATTTTTTTTTTATGTTTATGTGTAGTATTTTAAATGAGAAAAAATCAAGGTGGAAAAGAGAGTGAGTTGTTTTTAATGTGCTGTAGACTGGCTCTGGCCATTTCAAAGCATCTAAAGCGTGAGAGGGACATACATAGAGAGATAGAGAAGCATTTGCAGGTTCACCTGGGAAGCCTTGTTGTTGGTGAAGAGAGATGGGTCCTTAGTGACTAAAGGCAGCGAGAGAGATAATGAAGCAGGTGGACGAGAGGGAAGGGGGAAGAGTTATGCTCTGGAGGGGAGGAGTGTGTTTTCGAAATATTGCTACAGGCTGGAAGAACGATTGATGTGTATAATGTATGTTTTCAATATGATACTGTTCTGCATTTTGACTTTAGAAGTCTGTGTTGAAGATATGGTGGAGTTTAAAAATGAAAGGCCGCTGTTGTTATCACTTACAAATCCAATACAGTTTATGTGTGTAGAGTGTTAAGGCATCTTTAATTTTGTACTAGATGAAGAGGAGACCTAGGATTGATAACTAGTTTGCCTAAAGTGGAAATGTCTGTTGCTGTCATCTGCATAAATGTAATGTAAATTAGACATTCTTTCTCTTTTCCAAGTTTAAAGGAATAGTTCACCCAAAAATGAAAAATCTGTCATCATTTACTCACAATAAAGTTGTTCCAAACCTGTAGGAGTTTATTTCTTCTGTTGAATACTGTATGCACAGACAGCTACAAAGGTGTGGTCACATGTACTGTTGTTTGGCAAATTTTCGTGAGCAAGATTAGATTGAAATCTACGCCATCAGGGATTCCTCATGAGGCCACATAATTTTGCAGCAGGTTCGCACAGATTCACCACAGATTCGCCACTTCTGTGTGAGCTGTGCTTCATGCATCACTACACTATTTTGGCCGCAAAATTACACCAAAGTTCGCTAATGTGACCATTATTAGGTTGAGTTCCCCAAAAAGTGTAAGAAATATAAAAATATTGAGCATCTTCACCATCCTGACACATGAAACATCGGCTCATCCATTGACCATCTCTATGTATGACCAAAGTCAGAACATGGAAATGTAAACAGTATTTTATTATTGTTATTCGTTTATTATATATTGGCATTAGCCAAAATTGCAGTTGAGTTCAACTTAGCAGCATGGATGCAGAATCATGCAAAACAATCATTTGTACCGTTGCATACATTTTCAGTTAGCAGGTAGCCATGTATAATTTATTCCAAAAAATCTGAAAATAATTACTGTGTGCATCTTTATTTGAAACAATTCTGACTCGATGTTTTACACTTAGATAAATGACCTTCAGTCCAGAGCATTTCATTTTAGTCAAACACTGCACATCTGTTTTCCTATAACGACTATCAGAGTAGATAGCTCATGACCTTTTCACAGACTGCTTCCTGCTCTGTACCACATGCACATGCTCTAACAAAAACAGCTCCAGGCACAGATTGCACAATCAACGTTTTACTGAGGAATTAATTTAATCACACATATTATCAGAAATGCCAGAAACTTCCTCAAACCCACAAATACTGTAAGTTCTTTATCAAAAGGTCATGAACTCTTGCTGGTGTATGTTAGGTCATTAAGTGGATTAACTGTCATTCTTTAGTAACAGAATCTACTGTAAATGAAGCATTACTTCTGTATTATGAGCAACATGAAGAAAGTCGTTTTTTGTTTGTTTGTTTGTTACTGTAATTTAAAATCAATACAGCAGCCAGGTTAAAAGCAATGTAAGTATTGAAAAGCATCAGCTAAATGGAAAACAACATCTGTGACTGATTGTGGTGAGGAGCTGCTGCTAAAATCCTAATTAATTGATAGTTTGATCGAAGTTTTAATGTTTTATTATGGATTCTAATTTATGTATTTTTAATGTGATAATTTAATATATTGTGGGGAAAAAAATGAGAAGGTCATCTATCATACTATTACAGACAGTGTGATCATAGGGGCATTTCAACCAAAAATGAAAATTCTGTATCACCCTCATGTAATTCCAAACCTGTATAAACTTTCTTATGTGGAACATTGATAACCAAACAGTTTTGGTGATCATTGAATTCCATTGTATGGACAAAAAAGTACTGAGGCATTTCTTAAAATATTTTCTTTTTGTTCAGAAGAAATTCGTACCGTTTTTTAATGACATGAGGCTTAGTAAATGATGACAGAATATTACGTTTTGGCTGAACTATCCCTTTAAGTTAAGAATTCTTAAAAATGGCATATAGAAGAAGCTTGTAATGTTTTGATGCTTCAAAACACAACCATCCCAACCAGTGCAAATCCCCCGATGTAATGGCCTCTAATGCCCAAAAAAACTGTCAGTAGATATAGATACATTTCAGGAGTCCATTAAAGATACACATTACGTCTGAGGACATCTCTGTCAGTTGCATGTAATAATGACTTTAAAAGTTAATTTTCCAAACCTGTAAATCATTTTGACTTTTAGCCTCTGTCCTCTCATCTCTCTGTAGGACATGACCCAGTCCTGGCCTTACCAGCAGCCCCCAGGGGAACGGGGCACTCAGCATTTCCTGTACTCACACTCAAAGGTACGCACAGGTGACATGAGGCTTAGTAAATGATGACAGAATATTACGTTTTGGCTGAACTATCCCTTTAAGTTAAGAATTCTTAAAAATGGCATATAGAAGAAGCTTGTAATGTTTTGATGCTTCAAAACACAACCATCCCAACCAGTGCAAATCCCCCGATGTAATGGCCTCTAATGCCCAAAAAAACTGTCAGTAGATATAGATACATTTCAGGAGTCCATTAAAGATACACATTACGTCTGAGGACATCTCTGTCAGTTGCATGTAATAATGACTTTAAAAGTTAATTTTCCAAACCTGTAAATCATTTTGACTTTTAGCCTCTGTCCTCTCATCTCTCTGTAGGACATGACCCAGTCCTGGCCTTACCAGCAGCCCCCAGGGGAACGGGGCACTCAGCATTTCCTGTACTCACACTCAAAGGTACGCACAGGGTTTATTACAGACTGCAGGCAAGTGTGATAAATTCACCAATATAATGCACCAACTCTGCTCTGTCTCTGGATGTTTATCTCTTTCTTTCTACTCCTCTCTCTCCCTGCCGGGTATTATGCTTGCGTTGTTTATTTGCACATACTCATAAATCTGTGTTGTTTTAGTCACTACAGAAATTATGCAAATCGGGTTGCAATGCCCCAAGCACAATGCAGGCCAGTTCTAGGGATTGTACAGTATCTTTCTACCATACGATCAAGAGTCGATTTTTTTAATGCCGAAAATATGATTTAATTTAATGACACCTGGTTAAACTGGATTTCAGGGGCTTAAGGTACAAGGTTAGGTGCTAAGATTCAGTGTGACAGTGTTTAGTACAGTTTAGTGAATTTACCCCTCTGTATGCTGGTTTGATTTATTCTGGTTATCTGTTTTAGGAGGGAAACCAGCCCAATTCACGACACAGACATGGTAAACATGCTACATTGATGTTCAAACCTTCTGTTTGGAGCTCTGTCTTATGTGTCTCTCTATCTGGGATGAACCAAAATTTATTCTGACTGATAAACTTATTTTCATGTTATGGCCAATAACCGTTACCTGACTGATAATTATATTGTTTACTATTTAGTGTTTTTTTGTGATCATTTTGAATGTAACAAGTGAATTTAGGCACCACAACATTGTAATGTACAATATAAAAAATGGATATTTATTTTGAGATTACATTTAACAGTGTTATGAAATTATTAGTGTTTTATAATAACTATATGAGTGTTAGATGATGTACAGAAATGTACACTTCCTTTCAAAAGTTTGGAGCGGGTAAGATTTTTAAATGTTTTAGTCTCTAATGCTCACCATGGCTGCATTTATTTGATCCAAAATACAGTAAAAATGGCAATATTATAAAATATTATTACAATTGAAAACAACTGTTTTAATACATTTTAAAAAGTTTATTTCTGTAATGGCAAAGCTGAATTTTCAGCAGCCATTGCTCCAGCCTTCAGTGTCCTTCATAAAGCATTCTAACATTCTGATTTTTTTAATATGATCAATGTTAAAAACAGTTGTGCTGCATAATATTTTTGTGGCAATTAAACAGTTAGGCCTCTTTGACGAATAGAAAGTTCAAAAGCACAGCTATTATTTGAAAAAATACATCTTTTGTAACATTATAAATGTCTTGAAATCAATTTTGATCAATTTAACGTGTCCTTGCTGAATGAAAGTATTAATGTCATTAAAAAAAAAAGTCTTACTGACTCTAAACTTTTGAACAGTGGTGTAAAATTAAACATTCAATGTTGACCAATACTTGTTAAATATCATTTAATACCAAACCGATGGTATAGATATATTGTGCATGTCTGATGTGTGTGTAATAGGCTTGCTCTTCATCACCTGCTTTGTTTACTTTGAGATATCGCTACATAGTTCACATCTGTATATGTATACACAGCTGTACTAATATAGCAGTGTTTTTACATTCTGCTCCATAATGCTGATGTATTTCTCTTCCTGTGGCTCTCTTAGTGAGGGATGGTGTCTCTATGAGGATGCCCTCACGTCCACTCGTAGCCCCTCATAAATCGTAAGTGGGGTGCACAGCACCCAAACCGTCCACGGTAACCAAGCACCAGGTTGTGGCTGAACTGCTTCTGCCTTTTCACTTTATTACACCATAAACTACTGACTTTACAGAATTCAGTGTTGAATGTCTGTGCATATTGGTGTATATAATTAGACTGGGCTTCCTGGAATTTAACTGCTTTAGACCAACTGCTGTTTAAAACCAGCTTCACATGGAGGGTTAGGCCAGTGTTATATCTCCACCATCTCTAACCACCGTACCAACTTTACTGACCTCATAAACTTCACTGAGTTAGTATCTAATTGCAGAGCAGGTTAACACAGTAGGGTAGAGCCCAGAAGCACACTACCGTCACATACCATCACTGTTCAACATTAGAGCGCTGTGTTTATGACTTTTTTCTTTGAAGCTTGTAATGTGATATAATCTCATATGGTTAGACTGTTTGAGGCAAACTCACACATTTAATACACACATACACACAGATGTGCTGCAGATTGGCAGAACGAATAAGTCTCTCTTTGTCAAGTGAGTTTGACATTCTCTCAAGTTTGACTCTCTCTTTGCCCTCCCAGCATGCTCGCTGATGACCTGAAGCTCAGCAGTGACGAAGATGACAAGGACGAGGTAGGGCGCCTGTTAAGACTGTTGAAGGAATGGGCGGAAAAAGCAGATATCTTAGTATCAATAACTCTTGCACTGCATGTGCTAACTGTTATAGCTTTGAGCACAGTCCAGCTCATTTGTTCATTCATCACAAAATGCATTTACACACAGTCACCTGGCTGCTGTGGCATTTGTGTTTGCATTGCTCTCTCATTGTATTACTATATTAACACTAACATTGCCATTCTTTTCTTTGGAGAGCTCAGTGAGCCAGAGTATACTAATACTAAAATACTTTTTTGTTTATCTTAGCATACCGCTATTTATTATAATGAAATATTCTAAATTATTTAATGTACACTACTGTTCAAAAGTTTGGGGTTTTAGGAATTTTATAAGAAGTCTCTTAAGCTCACCAAGGCTGCATTTATTTGATGAAAAATGCAGTAAAAACATTAATATTGTGTAACAATATTACACTTTAAAATAACTTTTTAGCAATTTGAATATATTTTAAAATGTACTTTATTCCTGTCATGGCAAAGCTGAATTTTCAGCATCATTACTCCAGTCTTCAGTGTCACATGATCCTTCAGAAATCATTCTAATATGCTGATTTGCTGCTCAAGAAATATTTCTTATTATTATCAGTGTTGGAAACAGTTGTGCTGCTTAAGATTTTTGTGGAAACCATGATACATTTTTCAGGATCTTTTGAGTATAAAGTTTAAAAGAAAAGTATTTATTTGCAATAAAAATATTTTGTAACATTGTAAATGTCTTCATTGTCACAACTGCTGAAACATTCTTGCTGAATAAAAATATGAATTTCTTTAAAATGATCTTACTGACCCCAAACTTTTGAATGGTAGTGTCAATCCTTTTGTTTAAATTACTCACTATTGTTTGAGTCATATTACTATTAATCATCAAATCCTCTGTAAACACTATAATCATTAAAAGAGGTGACATTTAATTTAACCAAACTGAGGGGCTGCTAAAAAAACATCTCACTTTCAGATAATTTCAAGTGGGTGAGATATTTACTTTATAATTAGTCTGTCTAATTTGACCAGTTGAACTGATTCAGGGTAATTTGTGGTGCTACATGAGTGAGCTGTACAGTATTTAGCTGCTCCTCCTTCACATTCACTTCAGTAGGAGTTCTATCAAAAACAAATTATGATCTCATGTTACACAATTTTTTTTAGGAGGCACTGCCTTCTTGCCTCCTTGGGAAAAAATGCCACTGCTCCATATCTGTGCAAGGTTTGCTGAAATTGAGAAGTTCGATATTTGACTCTAACTTTAACCTACAACACCAGCTCCTTGTGCGTGTGTGTATCTCATCACAGGACTCCAGGTTTATGAGTCATAACAGTCTGAGTCATAAAATACACCAGACTCATGACCATTCTGCCATTACTGCAGGACTATGGCTTTTGCTTTGGTCAAGATGCAAGTAATGACCATGAAGTTGACGATTCTAAGCTAAAAAGCTCTCATTTATTAAAATCTTGTTTTTTATTCTTATCTGTTAAACAGGGATGTGAGCAAACAACTTCCTGGGCTGATAATGACCGGTAAGTGTGTGCTTGTGATGTTTTGTCTGCTTTATGTTTGTAACTGTACCAGGTCTCATTATTGTCCAGTGTTTGTCTCTGTATGTGTGAGTGTGTGCATTACATATTGAAGAGGTCAGAATATGTGGAATGTGACAGCTGGATGATAGACCAGCCTCTGTTTCTTTTGGCCTTTCAACATGTTCAACCCCCAAAAACACACACACACACACACACCACTCGTAGTGTTTAGTCTAGTATAGTATTTAGGAATTTCTTTGAACTTGATAGTCGAGATTGTTGTAAATGTAAATGCATCTGAGTGTGTGGCCTAAGAAGTCCCTGTGCACTTCTCAATCCTTCTCCATTGTTTGCATGTATTGACTGACAGCTTGTCAGGCCAGCAGCAGCACCACACACACACACATGTCGGAAGAGTGAGACATTCTAGCTCAGGGTCTTCAGAATCAGACCCCTCCAGTGAGTGGGAAAGCGATCAGAGCCAGCGATCACGCAGCCCGAGCCCAGGGACGCACAACCGGTGCGGGACACCGACCCAGCAGCGGACCCTAAACTGCAGCACAGAGGTATGCTGTAGCATTTTTTGCCATGCAATCTCATTGCCTCACTCTCTTGTTTCCCAGTAGTTGTTTTTAGCGGATGAGGTAAAAAGGGATGGTGGGGGTTGGAGAGAGGAATGTGAAGGCCGCTGAGACTTTAGAATCTGGGTGTCATGTCAACATGTGGTACCCCAGATGACTAACTAGATAGGAAGTAGTACATGTCAACATTGATTTTGTCGCAAAAAGCAGAACCTAAAGGGATTGTTTACCCAAAACAATGAAAATTATTTCATAATTTACTCGCTCTCATGTAGTTCCAAATCTGTATGATTTTACCAAACAACGTTAGACCTCACTAGCTTTCAATGTATGGACAAAGAACACAGACATCTTTCAAAATATCTTCTTTTGTGTTCCACAGAAGAAAGAAAGTCATACAGGTTTGGGACAATGTGAGGGTGAGTAAATGATAACATAACATTCTGTCATCAAAGAATCCTGAGCTGACAACAGCTACATTTGAAAGATTTTATGCTCTAGCAAGTCTTAATTTTTTCAAGAGAAGGATGGATTAAAAGCTCTAGCATAGCATAGGGCTACACCACCATATGAATGAAGGTGTCTGTGTGACACAGCTGGCTCTATTACTGAACATGCCATCTATTTGGAACCTGTGGAGAAGGGAGGAGGGAACACCATGTGTTTTTCATCTACGTGTAGTCATGTAGTGTCTCTGAGGAGGACGGCTTGGAAACGCCACACGGTTCCAGGTAGAGGGGGGTTTGTGGGGAGGGGCAGTGGGAAAAGGGCACAAGAGATGCAGTGTCTTTGCTGGAAAGAGAGAGAGAGGGGAATGTTTGAGTGGGGAGTAAAAGTTTAAATTAGCTCTGGTTAGCTACTGGAGGCGAGCGAGGAAAGCTCAGTCTGCCCTACAGCTCAAGTGTGCTATCAAGTGAGTATTTGCTTTGATTTTGTGGCATTAATTAAAATGTTTTGTAAAGTCAGAAGTGAGTAGAGCTTATTTTATTACTCTATAAAGTGTGATTATGTTAGGAGGACAGCGACGGAGTGTGAAATCTGACTGTGGCCGAGGACCATCACCTGGAAGATACTGGAGCAGAGATTCTGAATCCAGACGGGATTACAGTCCATGTGAAAGTCCAGTCCCAAGTCCAAAATTTGACTACAGCCCCAGAAACAGTCCTCGTCCCAGCCCAGAATACAGTCCATGCCCCAGTCCAGGAATTAGCCTTGTGCCGAGCCCAGTGCCAAGTGTGTGTCCAAGTCCAGGAGACAGCTTTCAAGGGAGTCAAAGTCCCAGCCCTTTACACCCTCCCAAAAGCCCCAGTCCAAGTCTCTCATTCACCGCAGTACCTAACCAAGGTACATATCCTCAGGTCCAGCCACCTCAACAAGACAGTCCCAGGCATATTGCACGGCCAACCGTTGCCTCTAATCCAGCACATCGTCCCAAAGTAAGGCCATGGGTGCCTCTGAACCACAGTGCCGACCAGAGAAAGGAGTTTAGACCCAAATACTCTAGATCCAGAGACTCTCGATCCAAAGACTCCAGACCTGGTCCTCCCCAACAACCCCATCATTCCGAGCACAGCTCAACAGAAAAGTCACACAAAGATCTCACACACAAGCTTGAAGCCATAAACTCTGAATCCACAAGCAAGCAAAGGTTTAACTCACCTTCGAACCCCATTTCAAAGCATTTGTCAAAGAAAAGACCAAGCATTAGCCCAAAACCACAAGTCAGTCACTCATCTACAACTGACCATAGTATTGAACATAATCACAGAAGCAATGAAACTACAGGAGTGTCAATCCACAGTTCACACTCCAAATCAGGCCATTCATCTTGTTTTAATACTCTAAAGAGGTCCGACCGTGGTCCCTCGTCAAAGTCCAGGGACTCGTCCCAAAACGAAGTCAACAGTCGATCTAGTCACAGCTCGAAGACTAAATCTTTCCCAGATACAAAGCAGTCCAGCTCTAAACAGACTTCCCAAAAGAGTTCCATCCCAAAGCCCAAGGTCAAACTAGGGGACACCCCAGTGCCCAGAACCGGGCATTCCCAAAAAGACCCAAAGCCCAGAGAGAGAGAGCGAGAGGTGGACAGCCGAGGTAATGCACAGGGAGCAACCCTGGTGCAGACCGGCAAGGAGCAGAGACAAAGAAGACTGGCGGAGGAGCAAGTGATAAGGCGTCGCTGGGTTCGGAGTTCTGAGGAAGAGGAAGACAAGGAAGACGGGAGAACAGAGGAAGGGGAAAGAGAGAGGAAACGGAGGAGGAGGAGGGAGCAGGAAGTTGAATGGAAGGCAGTGCAGCCCAAGCAAAGACCTCACACCAACAGCCAGCATCAAGCTCAAAACGAATGCAATGGACACAACCTTGAGGAGCAAAGGAGGAAGAAGAGAAGGTGGAGCAATGAGGACATTTCCTCAGGTCCTCATGTGACTGACACTAGCCCTTCTCCTCCACTTTCTCCACCTTTGCCTACTCCTGTCATCAACCCCACTCTCCCATCATCTTCCTCGTCCTCATCCTCCTCCTCATCCTCTTCATCCTCATCATCTTCCTCTGATTCAGACTCTGAGTCTAGTCCACCCCGTAATGTTGCCAAAGTCCCTGCAGATTCAACATCAAACCAAAAAACTGTGTCAAAAAGGAGGCTTGACAAGGGTTCTGGCACTGGTGCTCACCCCCATGAATCGAGCTTAAGCACACCTGAGACACAAGGTCGGGGCAGACACAAACTCTACACATTGGTGCCTTTTGGCCGAACTGAAACGTCCCCCACTGTTGCACATCGAGGCCTGAGAAAACTTGTTGTGAGGATAGACCTCTCGCTTCTGGGTAGAGTCCCCAGTGCAGATGAGATTACCGAGAGACAGTCCGCGTCTTCAGCTTTGTCAACGGGAAAGGCAAAAGAAAAGACATCGATGAAACACTTGCACCACTTGGACCAACTGCCTGGAGATGGCAGAAGTAAAAGAAAAGTGAGGAACAAAAAAGCATCTTTATATTTAATTAATGCATACAAATCTGCAATTCTTTAACGTTCTTTTGAATATTAGATGTGTTTTTGCATACGTTTTTTGTGTTTTACTTTATCAGGCTGAAAATGGAGATGCTCAAAGAGAGAATAAAAGAAATCACTCTCGTGCAGATAAACTACTGGTGTCAGTCCACAATGAGACTGAGGAAACCCTCAACAAGCAAAATGGGTATATTTAGACCTAATCACTTAATTTGTTTGTAATGAGGAACTTTTTTTCTTTTATGCATCAGTGCTTTCTCTTTGCAGAGACAGTTTCGGTAATATTAAATAAGCTGTTATATTGCTGTGAAAGTATTTTTTTTTCAGTGTTACTTTGTTGATTCAGAAATTCAGAATATATATGCTATTGCAAGTTCATATGATAAGGGGATGTCCACAAGTAATTACCACTGTAAACGTATTGTTGTTCTACAGTGTTGCTTTAGTACATTGAAAGATATCATGGGAAGCCCCTATGACAAAATGAAAACATGAAAAAGGTCAATTCATTGTTGTTCTTCTTGTCCACTGGGACATGATGGTGTAACGTTTACTGTCTGGCTCAAGCTCACTGGATGATGTCCTTTTTATTGCTGTGTATGCAGATGTCAGGATGATTACTTTTATTCCAAGAGCCCTGTATCCCCAATGTCTCCTCCATCCGGCATACTGGAGCTCTCAAAACCCTCAGTAAAAGCTCAGCATGCAGAGAAGTACCACACACCTCCAGAAAAAGACAAAGATTCAACAGCACAGAAAACACAGGTTCTTAAAATTATGCTTCTTTCTTTCTTTCTTTCTTTCTTTCTTTCTTTCTTTCTGTGTCTTGTCTTCAAAGAGCCATATAGCAAATCAAGAACCTTATATGGCCGGTATTGGAAGAGGATTCTCTACTGGACTACAAGGAATGTAACAATTGTTCTAATGTAATATACTGTATATTAATGAAACAGGACCATTGTCTCAACAGGTTCAGAAGATGCAGCCCAAGGTAGAGGTGGAGTGTGTCGGGGTGTCAGGACACCTCCAGTCACTCTCTGGATCGCTGGTTCCTCCCTCAAACCTTCCGCTTCACTACAGAGGAACTGTACCTATTAGTGATGTGTGAGTTAATGTCTGTTAATGCCTGTTTCATTTAACAATGCTGCGGCATTTAATGTCAAATACCTTCCCATATTTCTCACCTAATCTCTCCTTACTTCCCTTCATGTTAGCTCTCATCATGCTGAGTACTACATGCATGAGGCCAAGAGGTTGAAACATCGAGCAGACGCTATGGTAAGACAGCAATGTGAACATACACATTATTGAATATTACTACTAGACAAGACTATTACAGAGGTCAGAGGTTTACAACCTTGGAGTCACGACCCCACATGCACTCTCAGGAAAAAAAGGTACACAAGCTGTCACTGGGGCAGTACCTTTTTCAAAAGGTACAAACATTTACAATTTAGGTACAAATGTGTGCCTTTTAAAAAAAAGTGGCAGCTTTTGTCATTTTTTTTCTGAGAGTGTGGAGTTGCTTGAGATGAATCTTTTTTATGCTGTAAAATTTACTTTTGTTTAAAAAAGGTGCTTTTTCAATTGCTATATGACAGAGAGTGGAATCCCAAGGATTATAGTCACAGACCAAAACAAGGATGAAAATTTCTGGTCTATATCCTTTGTAATTAATTCATCAACTGCTTTCTTTTACGCTTTTGTCTCTCTATCCCTGTTTGCAGGTGGATAAGCTAGGAAAAGCTGTGAATTATGTGGATGCTGCTTTGTCCTTCATGGAGTGCGGTAAAGCCATGGAAGAGGGACCGCTGGAGTCCAAGTCCCCCTACACCATGTATGCTGAAACTGTGGAGCTCATAAGGTGTTTAAGAGTTTCATTTTCTCGATCACCCTCTCTGTTGTTCTCTCTGCTTTTTTCAGCATTTTGCATAGGCCAGATATTACATGACTGGGTAGCTCCTTGTGACAGGCTTCATACTGACAGTATTTTACCTACAGCAGATGTGGGCTTTGATTAAGTGCTGTGACAGGATCAACAACAGGCCACAAAACATCCAAATGCAATGCCAATAGATTTGATGTTTTCATGTTTTGATGCCAAAACAGAAATGGCCAGAAAAGGCCCTATGTTTGTCAGACGTTCTGTATTGATTTGACATGTTCTATGTGTTGGATAGATACGCTATGAGACTTAAGAGTCACGCTGGCCCCGGAGCCAGCCAGGAAGACAAACAGCTAGCTGTACTATGGTAAATACAACACTGCAAAGATCTTCAACTGTCTGTATTATCGTTTTGATTTTCTTGATTAAGTCAAAGTCTGTTGACAAAACATAAATTTTGTTTCTGGGTTTCAGTTTCCGCTGTCTTGCTCTTCTTTACTGGCAAATGTTCAGACTTAAAAAGGACAACGCTCTAAAATACTCCAAAGTCCTGCTGGACTACTTCAAGGTAGGCAGTTATCAATTATTATACATCAATATTTAAAAAATACCTGCCAATATAGTTTGTTCAGTGATTTACTCATTCTTGTAACTGTTTTTACTTTGACTAGAGCTCTCCAAAAGGACCTCACAAACCCCCTCCTTGGAACAATGCTGGAAAGTAAGAGTTAATCGTAGTTAGGCCTTACACAGCCACTGTGAGACCTTTTTGTTGTGTGTGGGTGTCGGTACATATGAGTTTGTGCTTTTACAGGGGAACTGTAGATCCTGCCTCTATTTGCTCTGTCAATATAATGGGATCTCACACAGGCAGCTCACAGAGCAGTGTCATCAGCATTCCCCATCGCATCCACCAGATGGCAGCAAATCACCTCAACATTACCAACAGTGTCCTGTACAGTTATGAGTACTGGGAGGTGGCTGATACCCTGGCCAAAGAAAATAAAGGTGAGTTTTGATTCAGTTCTATCTCATAGGAGCCATTTTAATAATTTAGGGGGGAAAATGTGTTTGCTATTTTTTCATGTATTTTCTTATTTTATTCTCTGTTTTTAAACGTTAAATTTTATTTTGATATTTACTGTTATTTATTCAATTTTTTGGTTTTCACAAAAATACTCTTTCTCACAGTGTGTATTTATTTATTTATTGATGATAAATGACAATTCACTGATAATTCAACTAATGGCATTTTATTTATTCTCTCTCACTCCCACACCAGAATTTTTCAACTATCTGAACACACTGACTGGGCCCTTGACTCTACATAGCAGCATGGCCCATATCGTCCAGTACACCAGGCAAGGGCTGCAGTGGATCCGGATCAGTGCTAATCTATCATAATACCATGTACAAACATTCTCAAACTTCACAAATCCCTTGAGGAAACAATGTTCTCAATTAGCAAAACATTTTACAGTTACCTGCACTCTGTGACCAAGGAGTCTGGGTTTTGGGTCAAGACTGTTTTTAAGCCCGGACAGTAATGAAGAAAATTGTCTGCCATAGTTTCATGACAAGTCACGTGGCATCATGTCATCATAAGGTATTAAGGAGCGGACATACTTCATGTTACTGAGCATTAAATGTCAAAAATATCTTAGGACACTGTGTCAGAAATAATCATGTTTTCGTTAATGCAATTAAGCAGGTTATGTCATTCAATTCTTAGCACTTCTTAAAAAATGCTTACTGAAAGTTTTGAAAAGGAACCATTGTCAACTAATTCAGCAAATGCTGCTCTTCCAAAATGTGCCACATTTTTAGAAATTAATTTAAAAAAGGTTTTATTTTCTGTATGAATTAAATTGCCGTTACAAACCTCTTTACCGGATTAAAGTGATGTTTTTATGACGGGATGTTGCATTATCTAACTTTCATCAAAATCTTTTTTTTTTTTTTACATGAGTCTTTTTTAACTTCTTATGTCAAAACGCCACATTTTTAGAAATTAATTTAAAAAAGGTTTTATTTTCTGTATGAATTAAATTGCCGTTACAAACCTCTTTACCGGATTAAAGTGATGTTTTTATGACGGGATGTTGCATTATCTAACTTTCATCAAAATCTTTTTTTTTTTTTTACATGAGCCTTTTTTAACTTATGTCAAAAACCGTGCATGCACAAAGTCTCTTTAAGATCTGTGGATGTGATTCATGTTTTTTCTTCTTTGTGCAATAAGTCTGAGATTTTTTACATTATGTGTCATGTAGATGTTTTGGTGCTGTTTTTCAATAGCCAGCATAAAGTCATGTCAGTCTATGCAAGACTTCTTATGGCATTGTGAAGTTGTTGTAAAGTTTAAACTGTAAGAAAAAAATAATCAGGACTTTTGTAAATTAAAGTGTTTTTACAGGAGATGGTAGTGGTGTTGTTCATATAATTAATTGATGATGATGATGATGAAGCACAGCAATCCATTAGTGACTTTTCAGACCTTGGCAGAAGATCTCTAATGAAAAACAAGATTATATTTTGAAACATCATGCAAACCAGCAATAACCTACAAATGAAAATAGACTTAACACATTCTAGTCTCTGAGATTTTATGGATACCATTTTATCAAAACCTAAGGAAATAAAAGCAGGAATGTCCTTGCATAGTAGAATGTTTACTGTATGTAAAATATCTAATTAATTGAGGAAATAATTGACAGATTAATATATTCTTAAAACTACCATTAGTTGCAGCCCTAAATAAATGACATTGAAATTAAAATGTCTAAATTTTTCAGACTGAGATTCAGGACTGCAACTAGCAATTATTTAAAAAAATATTATGAGCATTACATATTAAATAAAATAAACAATACATTCAAAATTAGCTGTAAATAAGTAGGCCTACTTAGAAAATAATAATAAAAAAAAAAGCCAATTTCATCTATGCATAAACATGTATTTAAGTGCTGTGGATCCATATGCATATTTTAATGAATAAGATGAATTAGCTCATAATGCATAAACTAATTATTAACCTATACAAATTTTAACAATGAAAGTCAAACGTGTTGAATTTGTAAAAGTAGGCTACTCTTCACCCTTACTAAAAAGTGATACCGAAAATGCTATTTTATTTATAAACAAATACATTATTTTAAGTTATAAGGCTTTTTAAAAATAAATATTTGATTTCATTTATAATGTAAATTAAATATTTATTTTAAATGTTTAACATCATCATCACAAAAGTCAAAAGATCTACTTTAGCGAAAGTCACTTCACCTCATTTTTCTAGGTGTCTTTTTGTCGCCTGTGATATATTTTGCAGTGGGAGAAGATAACCTCAGTCATATCATCTGTCACCGTTTACGCACAACCGTTTTTTACAGTCTATGCACACAACACGAACACAGGGATCCTCCTCCTGTTGTAGTACTCCCCATGTTGCCACGTCCGCTTACAACACGCGACCTTGGGATGTTTTTTTCCAGGCCATATTGCGCGATCTGGCAACACAGAGTACTGTCACCGACAGTATCATCCGTGTGTATGTGCAATAGTTCGGCTGCCGTGCGGCCTTCATGCTGTTAGCACGCATCTATACAACACATAGCGTCAATATTTTGCTTAGTTAAATCATAAATGGCTTCCGGAGCCGAGAGAGTGGAGCCTGGAGACAGCGAACAGGATGAAGAAGATGTATATGAAGTGGAGAGGATTATTGACATGCGAGTGGAAGAGGTGAGAGTGTTTGTGGCGGAGCTGCGGATGCCATCTTGCTAGCGACGTAGCATGTCGCTATTACTGTCCGTAATAAATACTGAACCCACGTGTATAATTCGTAGGATAAGGCCAAAGAAATAGTCCAAAGGGTGATTTTACGGCATGTTCGCCTTAAAACACCAACTTCCCGCTGGGCAGAGAGCCTGTATTCACTCGTTGTAACTTTCTGACGGTTAGCTCAGGTTGAGCTGCGAGCAAAGGCGCGAGTCTAATTCAGTGTCAACGGCTCTTGTTGTTTACATCAAATCGGCTTAAAATCTAGATAAATTTCCACTTTAAACCCCGTAATAAATCTATCCACGGCCAAAATGAGTGCCGAACACTACCAGTGGCGTTTTATAGAGCTGAACACTGTTAACAGCAGTGACAGTCATTCAAGGTTTTATATGCACCCTTGTTTACATCATCCATATACGCGCTATTATATCTGGAATGACACATTATTAGTTCTCTTTAGATAGAAATGAATAGAAAACAGAGAGACTTATGGATGACTAAATCTTATGCGCATGCTTCTGATCACACAACATGCAAGTTCACAAGTGTAAACTTAAAAAAATACAAATAAATCTCTTTCGAACAGATAATGCGTGACAGATTAATCGCGTTTGTCTTGTTAGCCCTTCATGCATGGTCCTACTAACGGGAATGCGTAACAATGATTCAGCATTTTGCTTTAAATCATTTATCTTCATTCGAATGGAATATTTATTTTCATTAGTTTAGATTATTTTAAGATATAGTTACAGCACTTAATAGTGTTGCTGTACTGTAGGGAGCCGTTTTAGACATGGATTTGGTCTGTGGAAGTGTGTATTGGAGATGTGAGATGGGGTTGGGATCTGTTTGGAGTCTGTGTTTCCCTCTTCCTGTCTAGGTGCTTTATGCAAAGGCTTTTTGGGCTTTTATAAAGATATATATAGAGAGAGGGGAATATCACATTACAGACCACTTTCGTCACCTTCAGGTCTGGAGATCCTGGGTTGCCTGAGAAGATGTGAACTGCTGACTGAATAAATTCTAGGAGACTGTTTTATTACGTTTTTTTCAGCTGTGTTAAATGCAAGAATGACTGATCACTTAATTCCAGACTGCTTCAGTTTATTTTGGTGAGGCTACATTCAGCAGTGCCTAATCTAGAAATATCACAAGGGCGCGCGTGTGTGTGTGTTTGTGGAACTGTGCGTCATTAATACTCAAAGAACAGGTGTTAGTGACAAGTGGAGTGAGCAGAAAAAAAAGTTTAACTGACAAGGGATAGTGATAGAAGAGAATTACAGACAACTCAGTTGTAGCTGAAACTCTGTTGGTGGAGATTGATAAGCCTTGGTAAAGTGTATTGAGGAGGTCAGTCAGTGTTCGAACTATACCGTGGACTTTGGGGGAGCCCACTTGTTTTTTTGTTTTTTTTATAACGGTGGGGTTCGTGCGCGTGCCTCAAAAGAGGGCTTACAATGACTTACAAAGATACATAACAGCTACAAGTGTATGCACTACTTGCTTTATGCAAGCACTATATAGGATAAATCACTATACAGGATTTACCCTATTATACTTTATCGACACGAATTGATAGGTGAAACAACAAACAGCCACCCACAAATAGTATATAAACAAAGCATCAGGCTGTCTTGAGTTCACATGAACAACGGTTA